ATAGGAAATGAATGGGAAAGACCCTAAAGTGAAGCATTTTCAAAAAATGTGTTGAATGAAATCTATACATCAGCCACACTGCTGAACACACAAAAATGAAGGAGCAAGACTGTAAAACATCCAAAGTATAAAAGACCCCACCAACTTTCTAAGCATAAAATCTAGTATTCTTTCACAATAAATGACAATAAAGGTATTTTTTTTTCAAAAGTTGGCAGCAATCTCACCCAAATACATAAAAATTCTCATATTTTCTTTGTTTCAACTTTCAGAAGTATATATTTTTACTTTAGTAAAGTTACAAAAGTTTGCATATTTGCTTATACAAATTATGTTGAAAGAGAAATGTACACTTAAATTAGAAATGACCAAAAAATCACCTAAAAGTGCAAAATTTCATTGTTACTACGTCAGGGAAGTTAGTGTTGTGACATTCATTTAAACAAAAATGTCAGCCAAAGTGTGACCCTTTTTTAAAAAAAGCATAGGAGGGTTAAAAATGTCAAAATAATAACATTAGGAAATAATATCAGAAAACGGCCTTTTCTGGTCAATATCATCTCTGCATACTTTTACTATAGCCACTAAAAAAAAACAGAGGTATTTGCAGGCTGAATAAACAAATTCCCACAACAGAAAACTATTTTGACAGAGACCACAAGAATATATGATAAGGAAAAAAATATTAAGAGTTTTCTAAATGCCTACAAATCTGCCTGTCACTAGAAAAACAGACTAAACCATGTGAGTACAGATATCTGAACTAAGGCTTCTGTGACTTCTGTGATATTTTGGCACAGTATTACTGTTTTCAGGACCCCTTGTGTATTGTGTCTACTGGCCCGAACTGCAAAACCCCCCTCTTCAAAACCACCGACCTTGAGCTTTCATAAAGCAGAGGATTTGAAAGTAATTAATATGTTAATTAAACCTGACAGCCTTCCTCTGGTTTAATTCAAGTTTGTATTTATGCTGTAGAGAGCCCAAATCTTTGTTTATCTTTGAGGGGAGTTTCCTAAACCACTTTCAGCCTTCTGAAAAGTCCGTGACCAATCATTTTATTAACCTTATTTTAATTTAACTTTTTGAAGAGATTTTTAAAAGGA